CAAGTGCATGAAGCATGTAGGCCTCTTTCTTCAAACCTCGTAGACTAACACTATTTAATCACAAAGAACTGTACCAAATAACAAAAACCACATCACTTGAAGACTTTCAACAGCAGCAACAACTAAAATGGATAGCACATGTAATTTGAAGAGAAAATAATGGCATAATTGAGATGTTAATATTCTACACCTACTTTAAACAAAAGGTTTGGAAGCCCAATGACTGTAACAGTAAGACTTGAGAAAAACCTATTTTCCTGAAAAATTGTTTTAATAGAAAAGATTTTATAAATTTCAACTGAATGTCACACTGGCTATTTGATCAATGTATGCTAAATATTTTTTTACAAAGAAACACAGCACAAATATTACCAACACTAATAATAATAATAATAATAATCATCCTTTATCTTAATCACTATTATTTCAACTGTATTTCTCATGTGAAATGTCAAGTTGGTTGTCCTTCTTTTCTTATGAATAACTACTTTTCTTGAGAATACCAAAGTTAATGAAGTAAAATATGATTTGCTCCTCTCTACAAAGCAATATTATTATTATTAAACAGTAAATTGTTAAATCTCGCATCGCTAATTATTTAAATATGTGTTATTTCCTTTGCTTACCGAACAGATTACAATAGACATGTTTTTATTGTTACTTGCTTTCTATTTACTTTTTAACAGTTGCTGTCCATATTTGTTAATATAATGTTTTTAGAAATTAAGCTGTAGTTATTTTCTAGTCTGGCACAAGGCCACAATTATAGGGCATTTGGTAAGGATCAAAATCACTACAAAATAATAATGGGCTACTAGATTAGCTTGCTAATCATTATCCCATGGTGATTGTGCACATTGTTTTTAAAGTTTTGCTTAGTATGGCACAAGGCAACGATCTAGAGAGGATCAAAATCATTACACAGTAGTAATGGGCTGCTAGATTAACTTGTGAACTATTATCACAAGTTTAGTCTGGCACAAGGCTAATTGAGTAGGAAGATTATATTGAACCATTTTTTTCAAGTGAAGAGGGTTTGTTTGCATGTCTAGAAAATCGGCATTTGAGATCCTAGCTTTTTTCCTGAGTTTTAACACTGACTTTTAGTTCTGTAACTATTTCAACCATATCTATAAAGAAATGAAGTTATATTTTTCAAAGAGACAGTGTACTAGTTGAAAAGATTCTCATGTAGTTGAACAATTTCTTTTTTTTTTTTTTTTTTTTAAAAAGGAGTATATTTCAAAATATCTTTCTGTTTTGATTAAAGATAAGAACAAAATTTGCCAAAAGAAATTGAAAATCAAATTATCTGAAAATACTATTATTATTAAGCAGGCATCTGTTTATCTTGTGCAATAAAGGTATTGCTCCGTTTGGTAAAAAAATTATTGTTTGATGGTGAGATTGGCCTGGGTGATGGTATATGGAGGCCGTGTGCTGTCCAAACCGCATCCCCCTCCTTGGATGTACCAACAAGATCCAAAGGAATACAAAGCATTACATTTGAGGATGGCTTGGCCGCAGGATTGCCATAATTTTGTAAGTGTTGACAGCCAACTGCCTTCAGGACTCCACTTCAATTTTTCTGTCTGGATTTACTTCCATAGCCTTTTCCATGCTTTGGATATGACCCCGCAAGGCAGCAAAGGTTTAAAATCAGGGTTTTCCTTGCCCTAGATCAGGCGTTTCAAAATTTCTCACTCGGACTTCCATTAACAATAAAAACTTTAAAAAAAAAAAAAACTTTTAAAAACAGTTTATTTCTATTAATGTGGTTTACATATTACTATATGAAATATATTGTAGAACAGATATATTGACCTTGACTTGTATAAAAATATTGTTGGCACAGTGAATGATTTTATAACCCTAAGTCTGCACATAGTCAGCAAAAGTTTTCTGACCCCTGCCCTAGATAGACTACCTTCCTGGCCTGTTGAACTCCATCTACCCAAAGCTGCTGGTTATGAAGTGCCAGTTGTTTGTCGTTGCCCCTTTGCAGCTGTACTTAGTTGTCTCCCAGTCAATGTTTTAACTTAAAAAAAAAAATGTTATCATCTCTTTGTAGTTCCTGTTCTTTTATTGTTCTCTCTCCTTAATGTTTTTCTTTTTCTCATATTCTCTAACACTCAATAACTGCTTGCATCTTAGTGGCTTTATTGCTTTATTTGGGGTGAAATATAATCTTAATATATGACAGAATAAATAATGATGTTTTGCCTGGTGTGTGTATTAAAAAAAAAAACAATCAAAGGCTTTAGTTGTTTAACTGTATCAAGTATTGAATCAGTAAATCCCCCCCCCTGTTTCTAATAAAGCTTTGTCCCACTGCTGAACCATCTTCAGCTTCCTACTTTCAAACTGGTAAGCACATTGCCATGGGCAGCTTCAGAGTATATGCACATTGGATGATGCTACTGCTGCAGGTGGGGGTGGTCAAGTGGAAGGGACACAATTGTTATTTCTTTGTTCATGTCCTGCTTTATATTCACTTTGACACCCACTCAAAAGTAACGATGGTTAACATTTGTATCATTGTTATGAAATATGAATGAGATCCATCAGTCCGTTTGCCTGAAGGATTCCATTGGACTTGATGCCTGTGTCTCTGTCCCTCTCCTGAATATTTTTGCTTTTCATATCTACCATGGTCTAATTTCGATTATGCCACTTGCATCTTTTGTCTTCTATTTGTGTATACCTACCTTCATGTTTTTCTGTTTTGTATCAATGGAGGCTTCCTGCCTGTTTCTATCCAATGCTATAGTGGATTTTTCTGATTATTCTTTCTATTAATTGAAAAAAAATTGGGTGGCGGCTATTCCTTTCGTCATTGTTCTTGTAACAGGCAAACACCTGTCTGTTTCTGGAATGTGATCACATTTTTATACAGCCATGATCATCATAAAACAGCATTTATTGATTTCTCTGTGGCTGCTGCATATCTACAATCTGCACAATGCCTTTAAATCAACTGCAAGCAAAGTACACAAAGTAATTAGGCTTTTCAAATAAATCAAATATTTATCTAGATTTACTTTGAAAGCTTTTTAGCCCATGTACATGTCTGTAATATCTCTCATATATATGAGAGAGAGAGAGACACACACACACACACACCCACACATGCACATTGTTACCCAAAAATTACCATAAATAATTTCTTAGCCTAATAACTCTTGCCTCCTGTTTGTACATTAACTCTGAAAGAGTACAGCAGTTATATTGCTTAAAATTTGCTATATTTATAGGGGGAAGTGTCCTAGATATCAGAAATAGTGTTTATAGACAGTCTGGATATAGGAATCAACACTGCATGGTAATTGTTATTTTTATACCTCAATCTTCAGACCATGATTTGACAAATTAAACTAACAGTTACCAAGAAGTTTTGATTACTGTGTGTGTGCACACACATACACACAACATCTGTCTAGGAAGGATTCAGTCATTTAATAAAATGAAACAGTAGCCTACTTTGATCCTTGTCACCTTAAACCTCTTTAAATTGTTTCCTTATACATTTATTCATGTGTCCCTTCTACTTTTACTAACAACCTGTAATGTCTTGTCTGTCTTTTGGGATTTTGCCATCAATTGTGTTCTCCTTAATTTTGCCCATGGCTTAAAATCTCCTTCTTTTCAATGTTGATTTTAGCTTTTGGAAAAACTAGCAGTTACTGGGAGTTAAATCTAACTTAACTCTACTAAATTTTGTTACAGGGCTGACAAAACTGGGTGATGTAATGTTTTGCCAAAAATCCCTGCTTGAGATGTGTAAAATGGGCAGTTGAGATATTTAGATTGAGTGAACACTTTCCAGACAGCCTGTGGAATCTCCAGATATTTTATTCAAGCACTGTCAACTGCCTTTGGTTGCAGTCTGTGTGTCTTCAACATTTTTAGGTATTTGAGAAGGTGGAATGTTTTCACTGGATTTCTTGATATGTTTGAAGCATTGGTACCAGTTTTTGTTATTTGGCTTCACACATTGAATTATCCCTTGAAAATCTTTATTATTTAAAGTGTTGCATAAGAAGAATGTCAAATTTTAAAGCAAAATTTGATGCATATTCACTGTGAATACAACAGTTACACATTATGCAAACACAGAATATCTGTACATTCAAACTATTCACAATCAAAAAAAAAATTTGTACATCTTCATTAAATAAATTTTCATTTACAGTTACTTGTCTCACATTGTGACTAAATTTTCTGTTTGCTTATCATTTTTTAAATTCTCTCTTTTCAATTGTTTATAATAAGCAGAACACATAACATACAAACATTGCTTGTTAAAGGTTCATTTGCATTTTTTAACCAAAAATTGATAGAAAAAAAAATAATTATGTATTATCAGTAAGTAATTGTTGGATATTTGATATGAGATTTTATGAGTTGACACAGCTTAAAACCAATCACTGTGTTCAGTTTCTGCATTGATTGATTTATTCCTTGTATTTTTTTGTTTTCTTTTTCTGATCTTTGCTAACACATTTTCTGATGAAAATGAACAGAAGTGGTATGTGAAGTTTTATTTTCTTTTTCAACTGCTTCTAAAACTGTTGCTATACCTTGAAGCTTTTAAGAATGAAATGTTAGGTAAAACATTTCAAACAAAGTGTAGATCAACTACAATCTGCTTGACTTTCAACAAGTCAAAATGATGAAAAAAAAAAAACCAAACTTGTAGTTTGCCACAAAATTAATGAATATTATCATTGGGCCATTCTGAGGTGACCAATTTGTCTTGGAGTTCATACCAGCGACTATTAACAGAAAATTGGATGTGCTATGATTTAAAGGGTCAAGTTCAAAATAAGTAACAGTTTTTTTTTCTAAAATTTGTGACTAGGGATAAATTACATAATTCTGGTTACTTTGAGATATCTCTCTTATATATATGTATAATATTATTAGTTTATACATAATAATAAGTTGTTGAGAAGTTTTTATGCAAATTTTATTGTTTTTATTTTTGCTTTCTTTTACAGCCCAGAAATGAAGGAGATAGAGAGTTGGTTTGTCAAGTGCACAAAGAAGAACGTAAGTATTTCTTCAATTATTATTTTGCAACTAACACATATTGACAAGATATTGTTTTTTAATTTTTTTTATTGAATATTTAAGTGTAGTTGTGGATGCCTGACCATGGAGTGTGGTTATCAAGTTGGTGTCACAAAGCATCACTACAACAGTGAGTTCAATTCTCACTTGATCCTCCACACATGGTCTGATTCTTGAATCTGCAAAGTTTATAAAATACCTTTTTGTTTTAATATTGATATAGTTAAAATAGTCCTATTTTATGTGAATAGGTTTATCTTTGCATAATGACCTTTTCAAACTGCTAGAAATAATTATTAATAAAAAAAATAACTGAAATACATCGTCAAGACTGTAAAGGGAATTCTTTGTACTGATGGTCGGTTTGTTTGTTTGATGATACAAAACAGGATTATTAATTTGACCTCTATGACTTCTCAGATTAAGATGAAACGAAATGTATAATGAAGAAATATCTGTTTTACAATCCTTGTTGCTAATTAAAAATTTATTGTCATTCTTCACAAGTTTATTTTTAGCACATGTACAGTGCAGTTTCAAATAAACAAATACTTTTTCTTACCCAGACAAAGAAATTATAACCTTACACTAGTTACAAATAGTAATTGTTGTTACAAAAGGCATTTCCATATAACAGTTAAAAGTTAAGATCTCCTCCTTTTGTCATGAGATAAAAGAATTTGTTAAAATCTTTTGCTACAGGTCTAATAAGTAAATATGTCACATCTGAGGGCTTGATGTCATTTACATTTAGTTATGTATGGCAAACTGTAACACATCACATCTCTCTTTATTTATATATATATATATATATATATATATATATATATATATATATATATATATATTACTTAAACCTTATCTTATTACAGAAAAATATGCACTCAGTGTTTACACAATTATGAGTATTGACTAAAAATAATGTTTAAGTAATAAAAATCTGTTGGATTCAGTTATGTGCCACACTTAGGCAATCATGTATCTTTTGATACATGACTGATTCAGGCAGATTTTTTCTCACAGTAGGTTTCTATTTCTTTCTGTGGTAGACCAATTGCCATCCAAGGCTATAGAACCCAGTCTGCCCTGCTATTTACCCATAGCTAGGGGAGAAGAAGCAGATTCATACCTTTTCCAAAGGTATTAGCATGTAAGTGAATCTAATGGATTCAACTGGAATTCAAACTCAGCTATCCAATTCCTCAATCCGAGCTGCTATCCATTACGCCATCATAAATAAATAAATAAAAAAAATGTATTTCCTTCCTTTGCACGCACACACACAATATATATATATATGGGTTGGTTTGTTTTAATGTAGATAGCTTTCAATATCTGGAGGTTTTTTTTACTGTGTTTATGTGTGAGTATTATTGTGATAAGCAACCCACACTCAACAAAATTACAATTACATTGCATCTAGACATATGGTTCTGTTGTTAATATTTTGGCCTCTCGTGTGGTATGATGTCATAGAACCGCATCTTACAGCATGCATCTGCTATTCTGCAACTGTTATCGTCGCATAGCAATTTTCTGTCAACATAACAGAATATCATATTTGATGGTGAATATCTTTGTTTAAATGTCCATATAATCACTCTGAAGATGGCTCATGTGAGCCAAAAGCTTAGATCAAGGACCAACTCAATAAAAAAAACATCAGAATGTTGGACAATTTTTGTCTTTGTTTTCAACCAAAAATAAAGCAAACATACAAACTTTAGAACTGCTCATGATCAGATATATAATAGACATTCATTGTCTGTTATATTTAACAATATATGTTTAAATAATGATCTGCTGCACACACGCACACACACACACACACACACACACACACACACACATATATATATATATATATATATATATATATATATGATGGGCTCTCTTATTGTTGATGACAAAAAGAGGGCTCAGTAAAATAAAATGGTGCTCAATTTCTGTGGACATGCATGTGTCTCCCAAGGCCTGGAGGTGTTTTGCAAACTTTTAGACAGATAGGACATGTGGTTGAGGATCAATTGCCACATATTTCTATGAGTGGACAACAAGACCTACTTTACTGCATGGAACAAAGCCACAATGGCAGGTAAGGCTATCATTCAGATGAGCAGCATGCAGCCAACTTGCTTTAATATTTGCACACAGTTAATCCTGATGTTCAAGATGGCTTCACTCAAAACTTTGTATAGATGAGAAGCAGGACAGGTGACAGCTTCTTTGCTCTAACGATTTGTTTTCCAAGGAAGAAAAGGGGGATGCTGCATCACTTTGGATTGTCTTCAAGTTTGTCTTTGGAACACAAGAGTGTCCTTCCAACTTCTTGTTAGTAGCTGGCCAAAGACTAGTTGTTTTGGAAGTCTGCCATCACTCATATGAGAAAGATGTTCTGCTCACCTGATTAGGATTTTCATTTGTATGGCTTCAATATCTGTCATGTTGCATTTAATCAGAACTTCATTGTTTTCTTTTGTATATGCTACGTTAGTAATGCATATGGAAGATATTGAGTTGATATCATATAAAAGTGGATACTGATGTCAATACTGTTGAAACAGGCTGTTGACCTTACTGTCCACTTTTATATTTTTATATCAACATATGCTCTAGCTCTTATATTGAGCACTTTTACCCATAAATATAGCATACCGTAAAACCATATTTTTTATTTTATATATATATATATATATATGTATGTATGTATGTATGTGTGTGTGTGTGTGTGTATATATATATATATATATATATATATATAATGAAACAAAATTATAGTTAGTAAACACCAACTATGATAAAGTTGGCAATTAAAAGTATTCAATGCCATGTAGAGCCTATAAAATGTGTTCATTATAATGAATAGATCTCTAGTTTTCTGCTTCATCAATGTAGATTCAAATTTTCAGTATTGCTGAAAAGTTCTCAGTTCAGAATCCCTTCTAAAGTAAAAAGTTTTGATGGTCATGTGATGATATTTTGTGAATTGGGTCAGCTAAAAGGGCTAAAAACTTTCCAGTACTCCTTTTGCATAATATATTTATGTATAAATGTGTTAATATGCATAGATGACGCACTCTGTGCATAATCTATGATGGTGAGATTAGCTTGGCAAGATGGTATACATGCTGAAAGACCTAAGACTATCAATGAAAACAGCACTAACATCATTGATGAGGCATTACAGTGCATTGCAAGGCAATAAATCAACTAAGATGCAATGGGTTATTGACTGTGAAAGAATATAAGGAAAAAAATTTATTTATGAGAAAACAGGAATTAAGGCGACAAGATGAGGATTGACATTGCATTTAAATTTTTGAAAATCAAAGTCTACTGGAAGATCAAATTGATTGGAAAACAAAAATCTTGGAAGAGAGTTGCACAAGCAAAAAATGCAAGAGAATAAATTGTTAGCATAGAACTTATGTTTACATCTAGAAATTTCATCTGTAAAATGATGAGACCTAGCTGCGAATCTAGTGTTAATCTAGTTTGTAAAGCCAATATACCAAAGATGAAAGCTTATTAGAGACAACAATAAAAAAAAGCTAACCTCTTTTTGTGGAAATCTGTTTTAGAACATTTTTTACAATTTATTAAACTTTGTTTACTCATCATTTTTTTTTTCTGTCTGAAAATCTTGTATTTTGCAATTGAAAGCTTTTCTTAGCTGATGTTAACTTCTGACAAGAAAGAATTGTGGAGTGAGTAGTCATGGTTAAATGCAAAATAAGTAACAACTGTCCCACAAACAGAATTGACAACATTAGTAATAAAAAAGAAAAAGAAAAGAACAGGGGAAAAAAAAAACAAAAAAACTAATATATAGCAAGCAAACAATATATGCAAGGTAAAGCAACAGTAATATGGTAAAAAGCTCACAAAGTAAAAATTGGGGTTGACACACAAGTGTAAGTTTGGACAAGTGAATCTAGCGTTCTTACCTAAGATAAGAAAGACTGGGACTGAGTCAGATGAAACTGAGAACCGGCCTATTTTATTGTCTTATAAAAAATCCCAGCATGCATTTGTATGCTTCTACCTATAAATTGGGGAAGTGCAAGTGTTTTGCAGTTATTCCTAACTAGATTGAAATCAACAAGAATAACTTATCTTATATTTAAAGACTTTGTCTCAAATCTGGTTTTCTTTTTCTGATTTTCTTTTGCCTCATTTCACTTTTTATTATTTTGATTTTGAGTTGTCATGAAAAAACCATCAAAATGAAGACAAACTTTCATATTTAAAAATGGACAAAACCTGTTTGCACAAAACATGCAAATCTTGGCAAAGAACATTTTTACTAAACATTCTAAGCCAAGTGCAAATAACTCTGTTTTTTAAATACTGCCCACTTAAATAAAGAAGACAGTTGATCAAAGATTTATTTAGTAACTAACAATATAAATCTTGCTTCTAAATTTAATGTTGCATGAAATGATTCACTGTAGAAGTTCGGTCATAGGTTTGCAGTTGTCTCGTAGTAGTAGCAGTATTGGTGGTGCATCTATCAAAATAAGTGTCAAGAAGAAATTGGAATGGTTACTTGCAGGTGCAGCATCAATAATTTCTTTCATCCACAGCAAGGCTGATTATAAGATAATGGTTTTAATTAATCTTTAAAAAAATGATTTAAGTTTTAAGAAAACCTTGGTTTTTAGATACTTCTCTATAATGATTTGGATAAGTGAAAGGTAAAAAACAGTTTCCCTATTTTTACATTATCCGAAAAGTTCCTTTCCCAATTTATGCCCCATCCCTTTTTTCTTTTCCAAGAGCACTGTATTTTTTAAATGTCTTATTCTAAGGTAGCAATTTTTATCAAGTGTGTTGAGAAGAGTCTTCAGGTAAATTGTGTGAATTTGGACAAATAAATGAGCAAAACTCTTTTAAATAAAGCATTTGAAATCTATAATCAAAATTAGTTTTCGAAGTAACACACTAGTTAGAATTTGAATTACACAAGATAACAGACT